ACACGTACAGACAGCATAGCTGGCTGAGTGGGCTGACATACAGAGCTCAGGCAGTGCCCTCCCTGTGCTCATGCAGAAGTTGGTGCCTTTTTTGTGCCTTTCTAGGACATCTTCACAAAAGGAGACACAAATCTGTAGTTTTGCCTTCTGTCACCAATCCTATGTTGAGGATTGGTCTTGGTCTGCTGTATCAAAGATAAAGTGATCGAAGCTAAGATTTTGACATCTTAATTCTTTCTGAGAGTGGAAGCCAGACAGATAGCTCAGTTCTTGAAGCAGTGTCAAGCACAGCCTGGCTGAGCAGTATGTTCGTGCACGCACGAGTGCTGTGTGTTGTCACGGAAAGGAAAGTGCTCTTGCCTCAGCAGTTCTTTGTATCCCAGTGTGGGATTTCAAACTTCATTATCAGTTTTGAAATTCACTTTGGCACTTGAACCAGAAATAAATAAATAAATAAATAAATACATCACAATGTGAAGAGCACAGGCTCCCTGCTGAGCCACCTCTCCTGGCAGAAAGCTGCTCCCGGCAATTCTGATTTCACATCAGACTCGCTGTTCCCTTTCCTACATCTCTAGCCTTTGTCTCCTGGCAGACTTTACCTCATTTCTCTTGTCTTTCTCTTCTGATGAAAGTAAAATTGATCTCTTTTTCCCCACCATGCTTCCAAGTATGTGGATCCAGCAACGTGACCTGACATCTCTAGAATGTCCTGCGATAGGGAATTCACAGTGCTTGAAGAATAAAAGATCCAATGGTCATGTCCAAATGTCTGCTGTGCTGGACTACAGATGTATGCTAGGGTATGCTGGCCTTTCCCAGCTTGGTTGTGGAAAACAAGCTGTTTCTATGGCCATAGTGTAAGGTTTGTACGTAGTACATTCATAATTGGAGAATCTTGCCATCAGGCAAAGGATTAAAGCTTAAGGCAGAGCACCTGTAATAGCAAACAGGCATTGCCACAGCATTTAAATGCAAACAGGTCTGTCTGAAAATTCTGGGATTCCATCTCCTGAGACCCCTGAAACTCATGGACGTTTGCATCACTTGCAGCTCAGCAGGGCCACGTCTCATAGCACTGTGACAGCCAGCTGATTGCAGTGTGCTGAACAGCACCCATGGTGGGACTCCCTGCTTGTGCTGTGGCCACTGCAGTAATGCATCCAATGGGAGGAAGTAAACAACTGCTTCATCAAGCTTATAATTGACCCTGCTGACATCTCACCACCAAGAAATAGATTGTCTGAAGCTTAATCCTTGCCTGAATAGCTACTGATGAACAGCAAGGAGAGGCAGCAACAGAGGCTCCTCATTGTAATGAGTGTTGTACAGAAAGTGGAAGACTCCAAAAATTCTTTGCTAGTGTCTGTGATATTCATAACAGAACAAGAGCTTGATTCTACATAAGATCATTTCTGAAGGTATCACTGCAGTGGAGTTAAAAGCATTCAGTGTATTTCAGCATGTAACATGCAGCACTTGAAAATCATCCTCCTGTAGCAAATTGAGCTAGCGCTGCAGTGCAGAAATTAACGCAGTGTTTGGAAGAGCTCAGAACCAAGACGCATATAAAGCTTCTTGCAGACTGAAGACTGGGTCTGTAGGAAGCAGTCAATAGCACCCAAGGCTGAAGTGTTGGCAAGATAAACTGCTAGCTTGTATCCAGTACAGTCTTCGGCAAAATATCAGGGAGAAAGCAAAATGTTGCGTTCTAAAGCTGACACAAAGTAAGCTACAAGCAAAGGGAAATCAGCAGAGATTGCACCAGCACTCTTGGCCTGATTTTATTTGTTACAAATGTTTAGTTTTCTTCCCTTAAACCACTCTCTCCTGGAGTCACTGGACTCCATGAGAATGTGCATTGATCACATTGAGATCTCATGGTCACAGAACAGATCCTGAGGGTGAGAGAATGAATGGCTTAAGAGACAAAAAGCAGAACTTAGCATTCATTAGTTTTTGATGACTACTAAGTGCTGGGGAGCTGACATGGCAGCACTGTTTTGCTCCTAATCATATGTCAGAGAAAATAAAACAAAGATGCAACTGTGTCCTATCAAAACACTTCATCTGGTGAATCTTGTCACTTGATCTTTGCCCTTATGAAGCAGAAATCCACTTAAGAGAGATGCAGTGCTGTACATCATGGCTGATTACGTGTATCTTAATCCACTCTCAGGATGTATGCTGCCATTCCCACACAGCATTTGAAATGCTGTCGGAGTATCATAATATTTCACTTCATTGAAAATGCATTACTCTGCTTGGTTCCCCTTTTCCTTACACAAGTGCGTCTCTTTTAACCTCCAGGAAGTTCAGATGTGGAGAATGGGAGCAGGATTAAAGTCCATCCCACAGCTGCTTCAGCCCATTCCTGGAAGTAATGCAACTCTGTATGGGAAATGTGGTTTTATCTTTGGGTGAAGGGCAGCTAGCATCCCAAGCACCTTCACTGCAGTAGGCACATGTTGGTGAGCATTCTGTGCAAGTGTGTGTGTTTGAGTTAACCCAGTTGCAAGAATAGCAAATGGCATTTCTCTGAAGCTCTGCAGAGTGAGGGCTGAGGACCAAAGAGGACTCAGAGGCCTCTGTGCCAGGGTTGGGATAGGAGCAAATCTTCTCAAAAGCAGCGTCTTTTTCGTATTCAGAAATAGGGTGAGGAAATAGTCTGGCTTTTCCAGACAGTGATTTATTACTGCCAAAGAAAGAAGGACTCATGACAGAGATTGAGGGCATGAAAGACGTTAAAAATATTTAGTTCTCCTTGGGTTGTGAGTGAAGTGTGGTATGAGGGAGGGGAGTGGTGAGACAGCTAGGGAAAGCTGCAGGTTCTAGAAGGAAAAATACTCATCTAAGTTTCTGGGCAGCCTGGTTTGGTGGTGTGGGCAGCCTGATCTGTCTGGTAGTTGGCAGCCCTGCAAGTGGCAGGGGGGTTGGAAATAGATGAGCATTGTGGTCTTTTTTGACCCAAGCCATTCTGTGATTCTAAGTGGTTCCCTTGCGGTATATTGCCTCCCTCAAAGGCTTGTTCAAGGAAAAACAGATTTAAAATAAGTTTGAAATTAAATGGACTTGATTGTCTTCAGAAAGATTTAAATAACTCCTAATGAGTCTTTCCCTTTGAACTCAGAGAGGCCACTGATGTCTGTGTGTCCCTCTGGCACGGGGTGAGGGGAGGTAGCACTGCCAAAGACAGGAGAGCAGAGACGTGTCCTTCTGCTTAACTGTGACAGAGAATTATGGATTCTTATCTCACAGTTTTCTTTCGTAGGCACATTTTTAATTCGTAAGAAGGAAGGAAGGAAAACCTTCTATTTTGGTGAAGTAAGTCTGTCCTGTCTTTGCGCAGAGCCTTATCTGGGAACAGTTAGTGTGGGAGAATCTGACAAGCCCTAAAGGCTTTGCAGGGCGGTTATTTATTGTTCTTTGTTACAAAGCAATAAATCCATACGCAGTAGTGAGTAAGCAGAGAGTCCTGAGTGTTCCCATCCAAACTGTGCTTGTTGGGGCATTTTCCCCACAAAGCCAAGATCAGCTGGAGATTGATAGCAAGTGCTTAGAGTGGGGAGGAGAGGGCTAGTGGGCTGGTGGCTGGGATCTGTGCCACTGGCCACCCTCACAGGTATCCTGGTGCTCTGACAGCGGGGCTCTTGGATAAAACAACAAAAGTGGTGCTTTTGCAGTGTGGTAGATAGGGTCCAATTCAGGACACAGGGTTTCCACTCATTTTGCCTCCCCTGTTGATGAGCTGCAGGCTATGCAGCACCTAGCACAGCCCACTACAGCATCCTGCCTGCCTCTCCAGAACTTCAGCAATCCAAATAATAAAGTGCAGCGTTCATTGCCAATTCAGCTCCCTGTGGGGAGGTGGTGACTCGCTTGACTTTGATCATGCTATAGCGATCATGAATATTTACAGCCAGCTCCTTTGCTGCAAGCTACAGACAAAGAGCTCTGGAAATGCCAGGAAACCCCGAGTGTCCCCTCTGCTACCTTGGCTTCTCCGAGTAATTCCTTCTCCTCTCTGGTGCAGATCAAGTTGTTAGCATGCAAGGCAGCGCCAGCACAGACTGTACTGAGTTCTAAGTGACACTGATGTGCAGGGAAGGTCTGTAATGAGCAGAAGTTTGGTAATTAGGCACTTCAGCACAAGCTGCAGTAAAGGGACATTCAGGGACAGATTTACTGGGGGAAAGAAGAAAGGCAAAAGGGGTGTGTGGTCCTCTTGTCAGCATTATTAGTACGGGTGATATTCTGTACTGCACACCAGGAGGAAGGGGCACGAGCATTGCAGCACACACACCTTGTCCGTGCAGCACCTACAGGGCAAGTGGTCCCATTTACAGTCCTGTGCCCTTGAAGAGGTGTCAGTTACTGATAGAAAGCACCACTCATCCCCAAACATTGCTCTGGCATCAGACAGCGTGCCCTTGTATTCTCCTCTAAACGACAGGATGGAAATGCGATTCTTTAGGCAGAAACACGGGCAGGTTAGATAGCGTAAGTGCAGGAAGCAACAGGGATCCAGCAGTAAGTGAAGAAAATCTGGTCCTGTGCAGCTCTAAGTGAGAAAGAAAAAATGTTTGTAGTGGGCAGGTGAGAACACAGAGGAGAGGAAAAGCAGGCCATGGGTGCAGCTGCATGCGACTAAATGTGATTGTTGTTTTTGCCAGCCCTTCAGGCATCTGCTCCCAGATCTTCCTCTGTGTGTGTTAGTGAGGACAGTATTCAGGGAATGAGGAGCTGTGTTCGTGGTGTAACTGGCTGAGGATAAGGTTAAAACATCAGGCATCTATTTGGGAAATAAAACAAAGGTGTCTGCAAACGTGCCATGCGTTAAGGCAATTGTGCTGTCCTGCACCAGATTTACCTGCCTTGGCCAACCCAGAGTGGTGTGGAAGAGTCAGGTATGGGAATCCCGTGGTATGTATTTGTCCCCACGTGGATGCCATTTGTTACACAGCCTGGTAACTCCCTTTCTTCTTCTTTCCTCTGTGCAGTACAAGCAAGTGGAGCAGTATATGTCCTTCCACAAGCTCCCTGCAGACATGAGGCAGCGCATCCATGATTACTATGAGCACCGCTACCAGGGGAAGATGTTTGATGAAGAGAGCATCCTGGGAGAGCTGAGCGAGCCCCTCCGAGAGGTGAGGATGGTGCATTTTCCTGCCGTCCTTGGCAGCTGCGCGCTGTCCTGTCCCCATGGTTTGCAGAGTATTCAGTGTGGTATTCAGGCCCTGGCATGTGCTCATCACATGAATGGTTACATCTTGGCAGCTCTTGAGCCCATGGCAATGCTGGAGAGGAGCAGCATGTTACAAGACAGGTCATGTTGGTGAGGATAAGACAGCCATGTGCTTTGAATCCTTTTAGGAAAGACTTTGCTTGCTTTCCTGAGCCTGGCTAACCTCTGGCTGGCTATATAGCACACAGTACCCAGTGCCCCTCTGTGTCCTTAAGGGTACTGTTAGATCTCTGCAGCAGATTCTGGTGGGAGTGTGGAGATGATTTTCACTCCCCTTCCTTCACTTTTTGACTCTCTAATCTTCTGCCCTTTTTGTTTGTACAACAGACATAAGAATCTTAATCCTGCTGAGCTCCCCCTCCTTCAGTTGCTCCTATCCTTTATTCCTGGGCACTGTAAGGGTCTGTTACCTTGCATTGCAGAGTCAATAGTATGGATAAATACCCTGAGATTTTTGAGAATGGCATGATGTCTAAAAGGGCAACCCTGGAAGAGAAGTCTCAGTAAGGAGGAGACACATGCTTCCCCTGCCCTCCTTCTTCCTGCTCCAGTCATCCAGATCTTGCTCCTATGCTTGACTGGGGAGCACTGTGCTGGGTGATTTACTCAATATCACTTTCTGCTGCCTTCTGAGTCTGAGCTGACATGGCACAGAGCAGCTCCTGTGCAATGGAAAACGCTGTCATACCCTCTGAGTGACACCAAGCCGCAGGAAGAGGCACAGTCCCCGTCTGCTCTGTGACAGCTGAACAGCTGAATTGGGTTTTCTTCAGCTGAGGTTGATGATCCAGCCCATGCCTCAGTGACTGGTGGGCACCTCTCCCTCCCTCCTCTTGACACTGTTCCCAGCTGACCAGGATAATTATTTCTCTGAGAGCTGTGGCACATTTGTGCTGTTTAATATCTCATTGTCAAGCAAGGGCAATGGAGTACGTAGGGCTGCCAAGGTGAGTTATAACATTTTCCCAGAGTGGAGCTCTGGGCTTTTTCATGCACAGTTTTACCACCGCTATGCACCTCTCATACACTCCAAAGCTTTCTGCAGGAAGAGATATATTTTATGTATTTGGGAGGATGAGGGGAATCACTCTTTTGTCCCTGCTCAAAGGGAAAGCATATGAATGAAAGCAGTGAAGCATGGCGTCAAACTATCAGCTTCAGTTAGCACTGCTACGTGCTGTGAGCATCCAGAGGCCCATTCTAGCCAACACTGGGGGATCCAGACTAAGGGAACAGCATCTTTTTTGACTATTTAATGCACAGTGTGAATTTTTTAATATAAGTGGGAGAATGTCGTTATGTTATTAGATGTTGACTAAACATACCTTTTCTGCTTCCTCGTCCCATCTTTTCTTCCCGCCCACCCTCTCTTTCTCTTCTTATTCACTGTGCCATCAGGAAATCATAAACTTCAACTGCCGGAAGCTGGTTGCCTCCATGCCACTCTTTGCCAACGCAGATCCCAACTTTGTGACATCCATGTTGACCAAGCTGCGGTTTGAGGTATTCCAGCCTGGGGATTACATCATTCGGGAGGGCACCATTGGCAAGAAGATGTACTTCATCCAGCACGGGGTGGTGAGTGTCCTCACCAAAGGCAACAAGGAGACCAAGCTGGCAGATGGCTCCTACTTTGGAGGTGCGTGTTTATGGGTCACCTTTTCACAGTGAGGCCCACTGCTGGTGTTCACATTGTCCTTAACTTGTCCTGGATGCACAGGTGGAGCAGCATGTGGTACTGATACCTCTGCCACTTCTTTGTCCACCCTCTGTTCATTTCAGCTGTCTTGCAGCTTCTCATATAGTAAATTGTACAGTGGGTTGTGGCTGGGATTTATGGGCATCGCAGGAGTCTGGACTATAAATAATAACAAAGTGGAGAAGGAAAACTAAGCTCTTGTAGTTTCATTTCCTTCTGCCCCAAGCAAACTGATGGATCTGTGAAGCTGAGAATGTAAAGAGAAAAAAAGGAGCATTCTCTGTTTTCCAAGCACATTTATAGCGTTGCCTATTCCTACTGTCTGGCATCTATCATATGAAGTGCTGTATAAACATGGAGGGAAAAACACAGTCCTTCATCTCCCCAGTTTGTGGCTCAGCAAAATGTCATGAAGGTCAGCAGGCAGGTGTAATGTGTCAGCAGCAGTGAAACTAGTACAAGGTCAGAAAGCACCACAAGCTTCAGGATACTGCTCACAGAGTAACAGAGACTACCCAGCTGTCAGAGCCCTGCGGAGACCACACTGACGCTCCAGGACAGACAGTTCTCAGGGAGATGTGAGTTTCAGTACAAGTGCTGAATGTGCACCGCTGTCTACTGAGGGGAGGTAGAATGAAACCTGTCCTTCTATAAGGACTATTCTGTATTAAGTACTCATCTTACAATCATAGTTCCTGCAAAGAAAACCTGTTTGCACCTGCCTGCTGGCTCTTTGGTACAGAGATTTTGCGCATCACAGCAAGTTGGGTTTGCTTGCTGGGATTTGGAGTTAGAATGCTGGAGTAAGGATGATACGCACACAGTTCCACACACATCCAAAAATAGCACTGTCTTGTAAGCACCTTTTCCTTAGGAAAGCAGCCTAAAAACTCACCACTTTGTAGTGCTGCTATATGAGTGCCCTGGGGTGGATCCAGAGTGAATCCTCAGTACGATGCTGATAGATCAACACTCAGCAGCACAGAGAAGTATGCTGTCAGTGACAAGATCTTCTGTCCTTAGGTCATACCATCTGTATTTAAGTGCCTGTCTTAGGTGCCCAAACTCTGTGTTCAGTCAGTGGAAAAGCAAGCCTCAGGAGCTCTGTGCTGAAAGTTCAAGGAGCATGCCCAAATGGGGTTTTTATGCTGGAGTCAAGGACTTATTGTTCTCTAACCGGCTGAACACCTTCCTAGGAGTACCTGACTTCAGTGTAAATACACCTAGAGTTGGTAATGAGTGAATGGCACTAACTTGGTTCATCCTGACCATCTGGAAGCTTGTGACAGATCTGCAAGTAACTTCCAAGCATCTTTGAAAAGACAAATGTTTTGAGTATGAGGATCAAAGTTATTAACAGGCAGTAGGGCCACAGGGTCAGCACAGAGCCTCTACTGCAAATCTAGGGAGAGAATTAGCTTCAATGAGGGCACGACATGACCTTCTGCTCCCAGTGCCCAAGAGGAGCTGGTGAAAGACAGCTTCTCCATTCTGAATGCACAAGTGATATCTTTGATAATCCACCATAACAAAACTTGACTGGCTAATTAGATCAGCGGAGTCCCTTTGGTGCGGGTGTATGTAGCAGCTGCCACGACTGAGCCCCCTGGTATTTTATTGCTGAAATGTTACTGCGTATGGAGAACATTCCTACTGTTCCTGCTTTCAGCAAAGGGAAAGCTGGTAGAGTCCAGCTCGAGAGGGGACTGGGTGGCAGACGGGACTGCTGAGCAACTGTGCCAGGTTTTGTCCCGTGGGGTTGATGGTCTCTGTCCCCGTGTTCTCAGGCTGGGTCTTTCATTCCAGAAATCTGTCTGCTGACTCGCGGCCGGCGCACAGCCAGCGTGCGAGCGGACACCTACTGCCGGCTCTACTCCCTCTCGGTGGACAACTTCAATGAGGTGCTGGAAGAGTATCCCATGATGCGGCGAGCTTTTGAAACGGTGGCTCTCGACAGGCTGGACAGAATTGGTAAGTAGCTTGAAGGTCTCCTTTCCTCAACTTGCTGCCCTGGCATCCTGACCCCACAGATGGTCCTTCATTCCTTTGCTGGAGCTGTAAGCTGAAGGAGATTCTGCTCTGTCTCTCCTTGCCTGACTTCAGCTCCTACAGGGAGACCCATTCAGTTAGGAAGATCAGTGAAAACCTCATTCTACTCTTTCTCTCTCACATACACATTTCTGCCTGCTCCAAGATCAGTCTGACCCCACTAAGGGCCATCTTAGTGAATTCACTACGTTTTGAATTTTAGCTCAGAATGTGGAAATACCCACAGCCTCCCAGGTTCAAGAGAAAGCAGGCCACGCTGTGACCTCCACCAAGTACTGCAAGCAAATCTCAGTATTTCATTGAAATGTTCTGCTGCAGAAATCATCTCTCAGCATGAGGACTTTGTTAGAGTGTGACCTGTTTTTACACAGATGCTGGCTGGGGTATGACTGCATGGGTTAAAGGTATTAATTTTTTGAACTTAAGACAAAAACTGGCAGCTACATTGATGAGGAAGGATCTTCTCTGGTCTGTCAATGCATAATGAAATGCAGACCATAATGCATCTTCATGGAACAGTTGCTTTTCTGGTTATAGCTTACAAGCTGCTAGAGAAGCAAGAAGTGCTGTTTGGGAAGGGAAAGCTTGGTGTGCTTTCTGATCTCTTGTGCAAAACCATCAGCAGAACACAACCCCAAAGCACCTGTCCAGCTGTCCATTAGAGTTCAACTATAAATACCTTCAGTAGAAACAGGCAGCCAAACAAAGACATGGAAGTTGCAAAAAAGCCTCCCACACCTACAGTTAACCAAAGAGTATCATTGGATTGCAGTAGCTCACAGTGGCCCATGTCAGGATGCTGTCCTGCCCTGGGGAAGGCATAACTTGTGCTGCAAACATCCTTGTCTAGCCAGGGACCAGGGCACCAGTTGGTCATGACCAGAAAAATTTAAAATGAAGACATTAAGTGATTTAAAGAAGGTCATGCACAAAATATCTGCAGAGCTGTGGACCAAGCATTTCAGAATTCAAGTCTAACTTCCTAAGTTTCTTATTACACATCGCTTAAAGCTGCATGCACTTCCGTTGCTTTTCAGAATCAAAAAGGTCAGCACGAGTCTGAGTACAACGCAGAAAGCAAGGAGGATAATGGAGTGAGGGGGGCAGGGAGGAAGCTGGCAGCCCAGCAAGGGGTGCAGTGCCTCTGGGGCTTTTTATGTGGGGAACATTGTATTCTGTGCATCTCATTACCTGCTTCAAACCAGAAAGTGTGACCCTTGAGGAAAAGGTTGTGAGCTCAACATGTAGAGTCTGGCCACTAATGAGGCCCTAGTGTATGTGGCAACAGCCTTATCACATGGTTATTTAAATGAGACTGAACTAGCTCCTAGAAAATGTAATGTCAGACACAACCAAGGGTGGGGCAGCTTGACTTCATCTCAAATTCTTCAGCTTTAGATGGTCAGCACTGCTCAGCTTCCTGGCCTGAAGCTTTTTGTGACTGCGTATGCAGGTGAGCAGGGTGTTGTGTGCTTCTTGTCCTTTGCTCTGTGGATAGCTGCATTCATAACTAAAATTCATGGAAAATGTAGCAGAAACTGTTGGCCAGCAGTGATGCAGAACTTACAGGAAGTTCCCAAAACCACTGTGAAATTATGTAAATCCATGGGTGTTTAACTGGTGGTAAGACTGACAGCTGGGATGGTACCAGCTCCCAAGTGAGCAAGTTTGAAGCTAGCTGGGTATGTCTTCCCCTCCTGCAGTCCTTGAGCTGCTGTGTAGACCTAAGCTTGCTAGTGTGAGTCTTTCACAATGTGGATCAAAGTGAGTTGCCAGAAATCATAATAAAAGTCATCATTAGTGCAGGGAATTATACGGTAGAGAAACTGAGACATGGGGAGGTAAAGCCAACCTGCTCCAGATTGCACTGAGTCAGGGATATTACAAAGAATAAACCTTGCTGGTTCAACTCCTAACTCTCTAAGCACAAGGCAGCACCCCCTTTCCATAACTTCATCAGAACTCTGTTCGAATTGTTTTTGTGATGTTGCTTGCCCATGAATCAGACCTCTCATCTGAGGCATTTCCTTGCAGGCAGCCTTTTGGTATGTAGCCTTTTTGCACTTTCAGCATGGAAGAAAGCAGGAAAGGTTAGCCAGATGGAAACCTCCATAACTGCTGTGGGACAGCTTCCTTGAAGTGATGGTCAAGGGGAGAGCTGCTTCTCACAACTCTCCTTTCCAAACCAGCAAAAAGAACCTCATTTTCTTCTCTGGCAGGAGAAATTCCCTTCCACATGCAGCTGCAAAATATCAACATAACGTCAGAAGGTGACACAGAGCTACTGAAATAACATGGCCTTTGGAGCAGAGCTCTGGCACCGTCCTCCCCTCCTTTTGCCATTCGGCTGACATGAGAAAGTATTAGTCCCTACACTACATAAAAGGCACGTACCTTCAGAGGAAAATCCTAGTGCTATCCCTGTTAAATCGAGAGCTGCCTGCTACTAGCTTTATATCCTCTACTATTGCAAAATAGTGTACTCGTAGCACTTTCCCACCCCGCTGTGCTCAATGTTCTTTGTCTGGAATTTCCCTAAAGAGCCAATTCCCTACTGAAATTGGCAGATTCCATGGAAATCCCTGCCTTTGATAAATAAAGCGTTTTCTTCACCTTCCACTGAAACGTGTGCCATCCAGCAGCAGCAGCACAGCAGCTGTGTAACAGCATGTGACTGTTTAGTGAAGTCAGGAACGCTACACTAAACTGAGGCTCTCTCTGAAAGTAAGGGGACTGTCGTAGGGATCTGAGGGAGAGTGACAGAGGCACAGAAAAGCTGAGTATGAACTAAAGTAGAACAGTACTTTGGTTCTTGTTCAGCTTAGGATCTGTATTCAAGATGGAAGCAAGTGGGAGCCTCCTTCCAAGTTAGTAGTGCATTCACTGACTTTCTTCTGCCCAGATGACAACATGTCTTTGAGAAGTTCCAGCCTGAGGACATGAAATGATTCAGAGGGCTCTGTCACTGCCAGCAGAGGTCCATCCAGTATTCTTCCTTTGCAGTGAGGAACCAAAAGAGCAGAGAGAAGGAAGCCCACCCAGGAGAGATGTCCAGAGAAGGGCAACAAAACTGGTGAGGGGTCTGGAGCACAAGTCCAATGAGGAGTGGCTGAGGGAGGTGGGATTGTTCAGTCTGGAGAAGAGGAGGCTTGGGAGAGACCTCACTGCACTCCACAACTTCCTGAAGGAGGTTGTGGTGAAGAGGGGTTTGGCCTCTTCTCCCAGGCAACGAACAGGACCTGGGGAAATGGCCACAAGTTGTAGCAGAGGAGGTTTAGGTTAGGCATGAGGAAGAGCTTTTTCTCTCTGAGAGTGGTCAGGCACTGCAATGGCTGCACAGGGAGGTGGTGGAGTTGCTGTCCCTGGCAGTGTTCAAGAGGTGTCTGGATGAGGAGCTGCAAGATCTGGTTTAGTGCTTGTGGTAGCAGTGGTGATGAGAAGACAGTTGGACTGGATGATCTTATAGATCATTTCCAACCTCGTGATTCTATGATTCTATGATGTTTACAGGATTAGCAGCTCTACTGGGGATTTGGAATTGTGATCTAAGTTTGCTAAGTAGCAGAGAGACGGGATGAGGATGTGAGCCCCCATCCCTTGAAGCAACAGGAGCAGTGCTGCTTGACTGGAAGTGCAGTGAGGCATTCACTTTGCAGAGCAAATGCAGTCTGAAATTCCATGGCTAGGCAGAGGGGAAGGAGAGGGGCTGGCACATGCTGATCTGCGTGCCCCCACTGCTTCCTGCTGGTACACGGGTACTGCAGCAGCAGGAAGGGCACAGCCCCCAGAGAGCCCTCAGCTCCATTGATCGCTCTGCCGAAGAGCGTGTTGGTGTATCCTCCTAACCTCTGTTGTTAATGGGAATTGATATTGGCATCCTGCCTGGGCCACGTGTGGCTGGGGAAGAGGTTTCCCAGGTGTTTTGCACTTGCAGAGCTCTTTAAAGACTGGAAAGGATTAGTCCCCAGGAATTGACTAGGGCCTGATTCTGCAGTGATTTGTGTCCCTGCTGAACTCTCTCTCTGAGTAACTTCAGACTTTAAAGTACTCCTCAGGCTGCAGAAAATCACATGCGTAGCTCTCCATAGGCTCAGAGCCTGAAGATGGAGACCTGAGGAAATCAAGCCGATCACTGAGGAATGATGATTTTAGCCCTGGCTTAAATCTCCTCTTGTTCTTGACCAATCTGTAAAATTCTCTGTAGTGTTTGTGCGTTTAGCTGATTTGTTCCTTTCTCCAGTGAGTGATCCTTTGTAGGACAGGCATTTGTGAGCAGGCCCTGTTTGTGACGTGTCAGTGACGTAAACTGCCTGGTTCTGTTCCTGCCTGGCTGTGAATCTGGCTTGGGGTGATCATCGAAGCTTAAAATTAGATTTTCACAAGTGTTTGCACTTGTAAAACACGACCACTCCGATGTTCACTGAAAGTAAATACAACATGGGTTGTGAATATTGTCAGATCAGAATTCCCTCATCCGTTCAAAAAATAGTGGGAGACAATTGTTTTCTGACTTTTAAATCTTGATGTCTGCCATGAGGTTCCCTACCATCCATACCGAAGTTGCTGCTGGGAGCTGAAAGAGCATTCTGAAGCCAGAGGAAGTCGTTTTTTTCGATTTCTTTGGGAATATCTCACTTCAAGTGGTTTGAAATGCCTATGTTTTGAATGCCCGTTGCATGGATTTTGGTCCAGGGATCTCAGTTTAATGGATTAAAAATGCCTTGCATTTCCTCCAGGCATTGCAGATGCTAAAAAACAAATCTAAGGCAACACAATACCAGTCTAAATATTATTACATAATGTTATTACAGCACAAGGCTGCCTGTTTAAAATATTATAGTGGCAGAAGTTTTAAAAAGCGTTGTCATAGGAGCCACAAAATAGCTGTTCTCAAACTTTTTCACTGGGCACCCTGTTTGTCA